CTGCCTCCAGTTCCGAAAATTGGAGATGCACGTATGCATGTAGGTGCCAGCAATGCGACGCGACGCGCCGTACGTTTTGTTCTTCTTAGCAAGATTTCGTCACAAAGACACATTGTCATCAAAGACATGCTCTCCACGTGCGCTAGCCCCTTGCATAAGCCACAGATAACATTTCCGTCACCTACGACGCGCCCCATCATCATCAGTTGCTTGCGTCACATCAGCTCTCGCTATCGCTCACTATCGCAATCAGACATCATCAGCATGGTTTATCGCTGTCGCGGGGAATGTGGGGAAACGGCTTCGGTCAGCCTTGTGGAAACCCGACCGAAGAGGAAGTGCCGATGCACGAGTCAAGTTGAGACGCCTAACATTTGGTATGATTTCTCATCAGACTACTTCATCATTTCCCTCACATCTTCGCCACCAAACTTAAGAGCTCACAACGTTGAGCACACCGCCATCCACCGTCAGAATCTGGCCGTTGACGTAGGAGTTCTTGGTGAGGAAGATGACGGCCTGTGCCATCTCCGCATCGCTTCCAGCACGTCCATGTGGAACGTGGCCCTTCTCCTGGATCTTCTCATCCGGCAGATCACTCTTCTGGTTCTCGTCGCTCTCCTTCGCTGTCATCTCCGATGGAAAGTAGCCAGGGGCAATGCTGTTCACGCGGATGCGAAGCTGCTGGAACTCAGCCGACATGAGTTTGCTGAGGTGGACGGTGCCGCCCTAGAACCATGAAGTCAGTAAAGATCCTTCATACTTTCGACTCAGATCTCACCTTGGCAGCGTTGTAGCTGAAGTGCCCTTGCGCGTCCTTCATGATTCCCGACATAGAAGAGATGACAATAACAGAGGCGGAAAGGTGACCATGGCTCTCAGTTCCAGCCTGGAGAAGCGGCAGGAGAACGACGGTGGTGAAGTAAACGGCGGTAACATCGGTGTTGTAGGTTTCGGCCCAGCCCTCGAATGTCTCATTGTCGAAGAGCTTCTTCTTCATGTCGGTCGCGTTATCCGCATCGGGAATACCCTTCTCGCCTGAGATGCCGGCTGCGGCAATGAGAAGGTTGATGTACTTCTCCTTGGACGCCAGTTCCTGGTACATGCGCTCCAAGTCGTCTTTCTTGGTTACGTCACATGGTGAGAGAGGGATGATTTGGCCACCTTGGTCGGGGCTGTGTGATTTCGCTGCGGTCTCGAGGGCTAATATGGTCAGTCTCTCCGTCTGACTGATTCGAGGGGGCTGCAGTCGTGCTTACCTTCTTGCCGACGACCAGTAATGTAGACCTATCTGATGTTAGCATTGTTCATTCGCGAGACGAAGGAACGTACTTTTGCGCCGTTCGCGGCAAGGGCCTGGGCAGCCATGAGGCCGATACCAGAGCCACCTCCAGTCACTACGCATACATAGTCCTTGACTGAGAAGAGCTTCGCCACGTGAAGGTCGGAAGTGTTTGCTTTGGGAGGCATGGTGAATCGAAGCTGTCTGTTTTGTATGGTACTGGGATGTGAAACTCTTCGAATGGAGTTATCCTGAGTGATTCTGGTAATTGCAAAGTTCAAAGACGAGAGTAAGACGTTTGTGCAAAAAGCCTAGAAGTTCTGTTAGAATAATTAGCTATGACGTACAGCTGTAAACAGCCCACCTGGCCCGATTAGGCTTAGCCCTAACGCGCTCATGCCACAGCCTCTCTTGCCTCATGCGGTCTCGCGCAAACTTGCCGTTCAGCCCGTTCAGCCTCGACCTCCAACGTCCAGGCAGTCGCTTCCATGACTGCGCCGCTGCTTCTCCGACTTGCCTCTTCCGCGCATCATCGCATTGCTTTCACTCTTTCTCGACACTCCATTATAATTTCAACTCACCCACGGTTGTCTAACAATGCCTACCCACGGCGCGTAGCACATACACGGCAATCTCCAAAACTTGGAGATCATTACTTCCTTCATCTTTCTAAAACATCTTTACGCGTCTAGAAACCGCGGTCATAGTTCGCCCACGCAAACTTACATGAGAATATTGCCCTCAACCGCCCGCCACAATGTCTGACCCACGACACGAGCTCATGGTTCCACCAGGAATGAGTGACCAGCTATGGCCCGAGCGCCTGGACACACCCGGACTCATCCCGCATCACCTCAAACGCTCTGCGACAGGTCAGTTCCCCATCTTAGAGGTTATCCAGCGTCTACTATATCGACTCCGGCCAAGCGGCATCGGCGATCTTGAAAAGCTCCTCGCACTCATCGGTCTCTACCAAGCTGTTCGTCCCGCATACAAGCATCTGAAGGATTTCTTTACATGGGCCTTTACTGTTCAAGTCACCATCCCAGAGACCGATCCAGTCGCTAGAGAGGTTCTGGCGTGGATGGGCTCGGAGGTGATACTCAACAGCCGCACGAGGAGTGCCATGCTGGTCACAGGAGGCACACAGGATCCCAATGACGAGTTTCATCGCCGCATGATGGCGGCGCATAACCCGAGACTTGCATCCGAGAAACCGGACGATGAGGTTCTTTGTCTCCCGCCAATCGGTACGCGACTATTTTGGGTCGGATTTCGACCCTATCTATTCTCACGTCGAGGTGGCCCTGGCTATAGGACCAACAGTGGTATGACCGGTAACCTGCTCGATGATAGTGGCCAGCTCCAAAACTCCCTCACTATCATGACGCTCGGATGGAGCCTCAAACCACTCAAGCAGTTCACCAGTCTCTGTCGCGAGTTCCGACTCAACAACCTCACAGGTACCACAACGGTATACTTCGCGGGAGATCGTACAGATCCATACGGTAACGGTTGGCAGTCGGTCTCCAAAGCCATTCGAAAGCTCGACACTATAGACATGGACGAGACTACCAAATTTGATATTGTCAGAGACGCAGAATACTACTACAGCGAGGAGTCGCGGTCATTCTTTGCCGACTGTGGTATCCCATATCGGCGCGGATATCTCTTTCATGGCCCCCCGGGTACCGGCAAGAGCTCATTCAGCGCTGCGTTGGCGGGCCATCTTGGCTGCGACATCTACCACATCAACCTTTCCACCGGTAGCATCAATGATGGAACACTTCACCGCTTGTTTCTAGGCCTTCCACGCAAGTGCGTAGTAGTTTTGGAAGATATCGACTCTGCTGGTATCGGTCGCGAACGAACACCGCCGGCTGCCCCAACAGGAGCACATGCGCAAGCGGATGAGAACGTGGGTGACGTCGCTGGCATTCCAGGTGGCATCGGTCCGCTGCCAAAACTTCGGGCTCGTGATTACCCGGGTGTGGGTCGTAGATCGAACACAGTCACACTAAGCGGCCTGCTGAACGCTATCGACGGAAACGCCTCTCAAGAAGGAAGGCTCTTGATCATGACCTCCAACGCTCCCGATACGCTTGATGCGGCTTTGACGCGTCCCGGTCGTATCGACAAAAAGGTCTACTTCGGCAATATGGACCCTAGTGCGGGCAAGAGCATCTTCAAGCGCTTGATTGGCCGATCAGCTCTCGCACATGATGCGGAGTTCACCATGGCACAAATCGAGGAGTGGGCATCTGAGTTCGCTGAGAAGATGCCCACAAATACATGTAAGTGGTCATGGCATTTCAGTTCCAAATTTCGTACTAATAGGAATATAGTTTCCCCAGCGCAAGTGCAAAACTACCTCCAAGGCTGCCGCGGCGACCCACTCAAAGCTCTCAACGACGTTGAAGCCTGGATCGCGGAAACTAAGCTCGAAGCTGGGAAGTCGAACGGCACTGAGTACGGCACTCAGAACGGCACTCATAACGGTACCCAGAACGATACTCACAACAACACTTTCAACGGAGTGGTCCCAGTCGGTCCCTTCAAACTTGCGCCAGATGGTCGTGAGTTAGAAGCTCTGATCCTAGCCGGGAGCACGGACTGAAACAGCATCGGAAAAACTACGTTGATCTTCCCAGAGTACTGACATTACACTAACAGCTGCGTCCACCCCGGTTCCTCCAACCTATACAATATCAGTTCCGTCCATCCGGGTTCCTCCAGGGTTCTATCAGTGGAAGAATCCAGAACAGGTAGAGAAATGGTATCAAGATCATCCACACGCATCGGCGTGGATCATGGCACCACCTTTTAGGGGATCAGACTCTGAGGATGGCGATCTCTCTCATTTGTGTTAGGGGGGCATTTGAGTAGATAACTGTCACGGCCGGTAGACTGGGGTGAAGAGGTTGGGTTTTCGTTGTTTTGGTTACGAAGAAGTAGAGATCGGAGAATTGGGATCGTAGATGGGATGAGATGCTGCGCGCATCCTTCTTCTCTTGTCGACGAACGTTTGCGTATTTGGTAGTGAATGAACAGCGTACGCGCAGCCCGCAACACTCGACCTTTTCTGCGCCACTATTTTTCATTCGCTCTAATTTTGTAAGCTCACCGCGGTTTTCTTTTGACTAGGCCCTTTGTACTAGCACCTTCTCAACCTCGCTGGTAGCCTTATGTAAGCATGTGTCATACCATCAGGCATGCTCTCCCAACTCCACTGTTCTGCAACAGACCTTCCCATGCCTTTTGCATCATACAAATCGCGATGGCCTACTATACAACCCTCCTAGCAAGCTATCGCGAAGGAACTACAGCACCTCGCCCGCCAAACGCCTGATCCTTCGATCAGTCACAGAGTGAAAGTGCCCGTAGCCCACTGTTCACCACCTGAACAGATTCCGTGACGAAGATTCGAAGACGCAGATTCACATCGCAAAGATGTGACTTCCCGGGTACTGGCGGCTCGCACCAATCTGGAGTGTGGATAGCCATTAGCCCGTCCCACGCATGCTCGAGCAATACATCCCGCTCGACGCCATCGATGTATCGAAGTAGGTTGAGGCCTCGTAGCCCTTTTAGGAGCGATCCCAGTAGCATGGCTTCGCACGCTGGGAAACACCCTTCTCTGCCTTCAAGTAGGTCGTTCTTGAGAGTTTTGATGTGGACACGCAAGACGTTTAGCGCGTCGCGTCGCAAAGTGTTCATTTCATCTATCGGTTGGATTAGCATGAGTCTGTCCGTAGAATGGAGCTTTCCTACCCTCGAGTTCCGGCGGAAAGGGAAGACCCTGGAATGTAATCGGGCGGGATGCAGTCGTAATAATGACGCGCGCCATGTTCCTGGACAGTGTGCGATCCCCCATTCGAATAGCCAAGAAAAGCCAATAGACCGCTTTCGCGCTATAGCTTGTAGGCCTGTCGGACCCTATGGTCTGCGACATCCACAGCGTTGCATGAGAAGCAATCGCGTCTTGCATGTGGTAGTAATCGACAAGAACAAGAATCTTGACAAAGAGCTCCAACGAGACGTATTCGGGTATCCGCTTGACCTGAACGTGGACAATGTCCATGATGACCTCCATAGCCTCCGCATCCCAGCCTTCTGCTTTGATGTGATACAGACCGTCGTCGGGGTTCGGCAATGTCTCGTTGTAGCCACCTTTGAATATGCTGTCAAAGTAGGACGACACGATGCGCAACTGGCGCGACGATACGAGGAATTTGACTGCAGGCTGGGACTCGCTTTCGTTTGCGGCGACGTCGTGAGATGCGTGTTCAGTCGCGTCGTAAGCGATAGACTCGTCGCTGTTGGAATCGATGTCAGAATCGGTATCGTCTTTCACTTCCAGCTGTTGTCCTAGTGTCGGATCCAGTAGACAGGTCTCTGGGTTTTCCAAGATGATCACGGTGTCGCCGTTGGGATCGATCGTCACTAGCTGAGGGTCTGAGGCCATCGTGGCGGAGGCGTGCGCGGGATTGGTTGAGCCTTGAGTAAGTGAGAGAAAATGCGAGATGAATTGGTGATGAGAAAAAGCGTGTTTGCTTGGCAAGCCCTCTAGTTGGATTGCGCTGCTGGGGATTAAAGTGAAGGATTAGTAGAGCCGCCGAGCTCACGTGAGACGAACAGGTTGGCAGTGAGAAGCGCATAGTTGTAGGTGGCTTGCTTTCGCTTTACCTTATCGCAGTAAGAGTGGATGGAGTGGATGGCAACCATAATGTAGCTGAGTTTACAGAAGAGTCACAGTAGTCAGCGTCAGTACGAGTATTATGCGAGGAAAGATTGGCACTTTGAATATGAGACACAATTTACTCAGTGTGATACTATTTTTCTATGCGAAGGTTATGCTATCTTTTGACAACCTGATCTAACTGTGAGATGCGGCGTCAAAGACCCTGGCAGTTTTGCACCTTTGCTTTCTCGGCTACCCTTCATTCACTCGCTGATACATGGCCATCTATCGCTGCCCTGCCTTAACATCAGTATGTTGTACGTCTTTCCTGAACTGTCATTTCGAGTATTTAAAGAGCTAAGAGGGACTGAAATCAAGTTTAAATACTAGATCCTCGTCGACCTTCTTTATAATCTAATCGAACAAACCCCCGAAGTCGCATTTGTCGCACACGCCTATAGGCCCATAACTAGAAGTCTAATGTCTGTTTTTATGTCGACCTTTTTTCGTAATTGCCATAGTCCGTACAGCATCACAGGCTTCCTGCAAACTCGTTCCATAGTAAGGCGGTGAGATGCTGCCTCTAAGGGCAGAGGTCAGACCCCCAGAACGCTTGTACAGTATCAAACTGCCCAACACGCTGGAGTTGTTGGAGCAAACTCGGATCAGCTGTCAATGGCGAAAGCAGATGAGCAAATTTTCGAGTGTGGGAAGGTGCGAAGAGACGCGTTTGCTCGCCAAGCCCGCTAGTCCGGTGTTGTGGTACAAACTCGAAGGGACGGAAGGTCCGCACTCACCGCGATGAGTCTGAACTGATTAGGCAATCATAGATAGACGTTAGGAAAGCTGATCGCCCTTGCATGGATACGACACTGGAGACATGTAGGACCGTGAAGTTGTATGCTAAGGAAACTGGCCAGCGTAGATTTGAAAGCAGTGAAGGATAGCGAGATCAGCCAAATGCACGTGAGACAAGAAGCTCGAGAATGAGAACCGCTGTACAAGGCGCATCGCCTATCAACTGCATGTGCTGTATTACCCCACTCGGAGGTCTGTGGATAATAAGGTATATACATGAACTACGTTTACATAATTATAATCCAGGAAGCGATACCTTCAAGTTGTATTTGCTCTCTAGTAGTGAGCAGGGGCGGGGGTCGCCTTGGGCCTGACCCTGGTCTCCAAAGTGCAAGGCGTGCTGCTGGCCTTGACACCTCCGTAGCCCATAGCAGGAGAAGGCTTGGTGGGGCGATGGGCAGCATGGGTAGGCTTGGGGTAGGCGTGAGGCCACTTGCCAGAAGGTCTGGGGCGACCCCAGCCGAAGCCGCCCTGGGGACGGCTGCCGTTGTGGAAGTAGTCTGGGCGAGGAGTGCCAGAGGGGCGTGTGTTGCCAGAGGGACGCATGCCGGTTCCGGTGGGGTAGGCTGCTGCTGAGCCTGTACTGTTAGGGCGCTGGGGAAGAGGCGACGAAGCAGTAGCCTCAAGGGGCACGCGAGTGCTTTGAGCCTTGCTTTTGGTGCAAGATGTGGAGGTTGCGGGTTTGGGTGTTGCAACGGTAGAGGTAGCTGCCGAGCTTGCACCTGTGGGCTTTTGAGGGGCAGCCGATGAACGAGTAGCGTCAAGGGGCACGCGGGTGCTCTGGGCCTTGCTCTCAGTGCAAGTCGTGGAGGTTGCAGGCTTCGATGGTTTGACGGTGGGAGGAGCTACCGGGTATTCAGCAGAGCCGGTAGGCTCAACAACGGACGAGCTGGATGCGGTAGAGTAGACCGGCAAGAGGGACAAAAGAGGGACCGCGGCAGTCTCGGTGAACGCAGGTGCAATAGCAGGGTTGAACAGCTGGGACGCCGGGATGTAGATGGACTTGAAAGGGTTCGGCAGATCATTGTCGGGAAGGAATCCTGAGGGTATAGCTCCGAGGGCGGATGTGATAACAGAGACGATGGGTACTATGGGCACCAGGGACGCAATCGGGTTCGGGACGGGCGTGCCGTACCCAGCAGGTGCTGTAACGGAGGGAGCAGGCTTCGAGCCTCCAGCAGGGGCGTTGTAGCTGTTATCGCCGTACTGAGCAAAGGCCGTACCGGCAAGCAGGGAAAAAAAGTAAGCAGAGTGCATCATGATGCTAGCAGATGATCAAACAAAGCGAGGAACGAAATAAAGAGCGAACGACCAGCGAACCAGGTCAGTGTGTCTGTGAGAGACGGTAAAAAGAATGTAATCGATGCGAATGATCGTGAAAGCGGTAGCAGGTCGTCGTCATGTTGGAGTTGCTCCCCTATATAACCAGGCGGGCAATGAAACAAGCCATTTCCGCTGGGGCCTGAGGCCTGGACCAAGAAGACGGCGCCAATCGAGGATCATCTCGGAAACATTTGCAGTGCACCCCAGTGCGGGGGCCGCCGCGCCTGTACAAAGGCAAGGTGAGAGCTGCGAGTGGTTGGGTTGCTGAGGCGCGGACCGTAGAATGGGTAGCGTAATTGCGGTCGTTTCGAGTTGTTTCGCCAAGATCCCGCTAGCGGTAGATCGCCGCGCCAACACGTGACGAGGTCGGGACGGGATGGTCTAGATCAACAGCTCGTCATTGCGTCAAGACGCACCATTGTCCGATTCATCATTTAGATTTGAGGACTACAGCGCTGAGTACTGACTAGCAAGTGCTTAACGGCCATCTCGATCTATTGTATCACGACGCCGTCTTCCGCCGCTTGATACCGATCCACATGTCCTCCCAGAATCCTACACCACCTTTGACTACAAAATTGCCTTTGCGGCTTTCGTCGATCTCAATCTTGAACGTCCTGAAGAACTGCAACGGGGCCTTGTACAACTCCATGAGCGCGATGTCTTTTCCAAGACAGACTCTCGCGCCGTACCCAAAGCCCATGTTATACTTGTTGTACTCTTTTGCTTTTTCCTCGCTTTCGAGCCACCTTCCTGGACGAAAATCACAGGCATCTGTACCATAGATCTTTTCATCGCGGTGCACGAGCCAGGGGTTGCAGGTTATTTCGGTACCGGGCGGCGCGTAGCGGCCATGCAGGTGCATCCCTGACGAACCCACAACGCGAGGGAAGATATTCGGAGCGGAGGGACAGAGACTGGATTCGTCAGTATATGAGAGTGACAGTGAGGAATATGAGTATGACCTACCGCATGCTTTCTTTGACGCAAGCAACGTAGTATGGACAATGCTCCAACACTTCGTCATATTGTGGCATGGGGCTCAACTTGCCCTCGCGAGTAACGCGATCTATCTCTTCCATCAACTTCGCGTATACTTGAGCATCGGAGGTAATGTACGCAATCATAGCTTGAAATGCAGTGCCTGTCGTATCAGCGCCAGCGAGCAACACGAGGAGAATTTCAGCTTTGATGTAGTCCAAATCCAGCGGTGCGCCATCTTCTGTCCTTGCATCCAGGAAAGTCTGTAGCAGATCGACTCTGTCGACTTTACCAGCTTCGATATCTTGGATTCGCTTGGCAATGAGCTTGTCACGGAAACGCATCAGCGTGCCAATACCAGAGTCGTCCTCAGGCTTCGCGACGAGATATTTCTCGCCGAACCATGTACCTTTCGCCCATTGTGTGAATGGCCAGAGCCGAGCCATTAGACCGAAAGGAAGCAGACCATCGTGGAAGCCTTTGATCAAGCCGTCGATATCGGAGCCGCTCTCGATGAATCCGATGGGTGCGCCAAAGCCAATCTCCGATATGATGTCATATGCCATGTATACTGCCTATATAAAGTGTCAGTGCCCCTGATCGCCAGCATAACGATAGTGTGAAGCATACCCACGGCGCAAAGTCAAATTTGCTGCCATCGCCGAAGACTTCCTCCAGCTTGTCAGTCCACTGCTGGATGCGATCATCCACTAGCCCCTCCATCTTCCTGACATTGCTAAAACTATATGGGCCAGCAGCGATCTTACGAAAGTGCGCGTGGTGCTTGTGTTCCCGCATATTGAACAAACTCTCCGTCTTGCCGAAGCTGCCGGTGATATAATGATTCGACTTGTTCGATTGACGATTGTAAACTTCAGGGAGCTTGGTAGCATCGGATACCAAGAGTAGGGTAGGGGTGACGCGAAGGACGGGGCCATATTTGCGGTGTAGGGCGAGTTCGACCTCGCATTCATCAGCTTTGATGTTGTGGTATGCGATCCATAGCCTCGTTACGCTGGCCCAGAAAGGACCCGGGAAGTGTCGTAGCGGGTGGAAGTATCGATAGTAGATGATCTGGTAGACGCATCTCACGGTAGTATATGCCACGAGTGCTAGGAGGATATTAGGTATCGTGAAGTATGAGAAGAGATGCAGACTAGAGTCTTGCGTAGACATCATGCAGGGTTTGTAGAATACGAGTACAGTGGATCAACTAGAAAGGGACACTGCGATGCCGACAATAGATATATTCGTGAGATATCCATCGCTCCAAGGGATCGTCAAGTACCTTTACGGTGTAGGACACTAACATGTCGCCCGGAGAAGCATCGCCAGCGTCTTTTGAAGGATTCACACACATGATTCGACATGAAATCATCCAGCGATCACACTTCTCTTCCACATGTTCTCCGATAGCGTGGCGGGGTAGCGAACGCTAGAATGAATGCTGTCGCGGGGTACATACGCAGGTACGGGCACCGTTTTCCGCTCTACCAGCACAACGCGGGGTCGGGAGTTGCATTCCATACCACAGAAGCGACATGTTCGTGTCGTGGTTGATGTGCGACAACAGTGAGCTACGTGTTGTGCCGGCCAACCCAAACTAGGCTGAAGACGATAAT